TTATGATCATTGATAGTCCCAATAAGAGCCTATTCGGGTTTGTTCTAAGCAATGTGCTTTAGTCTAGACCTTCCAAATGAGCTAGAGGGATTGACATGAGGTCACCCGAAAACTACAGATGTGTGAAGAATCTATGGACAAGAATGTTCTGGACAGTAGAAAACTAACAGATACAACAACAATATCATGCGACCAAGAAGTTGATTCCACAGCAAAAGCTCTTCTCACATTTTCCATAAAGACATGGCTTAACTTACAAATCTGAGCTCACAATCGCCTTGTCTTTCTCGCGGTGTTTTGGTTGCTGGATGAATAACCAAACTTGTTGAAGTCCAGTTTAGGAGATGACCTTTTTTTTGACAAAACCAGAACAAGAAAACAAACTTTCTCTGAGATTATGGCATTTAACACCAAAAACTATTGAAGATAGTAAAGTTTGAGAGATTTTGATATCCTTTTCTTAACATTAAAACCCAAAAAAAAAAAACTGAGAGAGATCAAAATGTTTACCGTTTGACCGGAAAAGTGTTGCGGATATCTTTGAGAGGTGCACGGAGACCACTAGCACGAGAGCCAGGCCCGGAATATCTGAAAGATGATATAGCTGAGACAAATCTTTCCACAGATTTCTCTGCTATTTCTGAGTAATGCCCTATATGTGAAATGTTGGATCCAAACTTCTTAGCATCGTCCGTTTCAAATGATGTTTCTGCAGTCACAGCTTCAGAGGATAGTAAAGGGAAAAATAAAAACGTTTAGTTGAAGACTCCATTGCCAATATAACAATTATACACATACATGTATTTACGGGGCATGAATTCCTATGAGTACCAGGATCAGTTTCATCTATGCGCATATGCTTGGAATTCACATTTTCCTGAAATAGTTAGAAAAGTTAATAAATGGCTTGAATAATGGCAACATAAGCAGGGAAGAGTAGTATAATACTATCTAACCTTCTCAAGGTTTTCATCTGACTTAAGCTTCCTTTTCCCTGTTGCAGCTCCTGGAAAACTATTACAGTGAATGGAAGAGAGGGGCGTAACATTCTTGGGAGTACCAAAGGCAGGAAGAATCTCATCGGATGTGTTCTGGTTGTCTTTATCAATCTGATAGTTTATCTTGTTGATGTTTGTTGTTCTCTCAGCCACTTCGTTCATGTCAGAGGAGCTCGCTTCTTTGGCATCTTCATGATTGTTGTAGATTCGCTCATGATGGAAACTTGGACTTGTTGCTATAGCTCTGTGACTTTCTTCTCTTGTAGACGCGCTTGAATTGTTTATTGCAGTTTTAACTGTCTTTCTCTGATCAATCACAGAGAAATCATTGAGACATGGGAGCAACTGTTTAAGAATTTTGTCCTCCTGCTTCTGCTTAAAATACTTGCTTCTTACTACAACCTTCAAACTATCTGTCTTCAGCCTCCCCACTTGCTGTTCTATGTATTTGTGATCAAGGTCTTTGTGATTCCTTTCCAGTGAATCTAAAAGATAGTGACACGTAAAAGATGAGTCCGTATAGAGAGATTAGAGTAAAGTTCCTTTTTCAGTTGTGGGAACAAAAGCAGTTGTACCGTCGTCGGGTGACTCTCTTTCCTCTGCAACTTTGCTAGCAAATGAATTCTCACCCTAAAGACACAAAGAGATTAGAGCTTATGCCTTCCGAGAACTAAAATGTGTGGTTCTTCTAGTTTCTTACCAAGCTGTAAACCGGTGATTTATCTGTTGTCTGACTCGACGAAGCATCTACATCTGTTGCATTATCCTCTGGAGTGCTTGAAGACTCATCAGTTGGAGTCAGAGACATTGGTGATATCCTAGGAGCCTTGAATTTTCTTTTTGCCTCAATAGATGCAAAGCCTTTCAAACGTTAAGCGAATAACAAGTAGCCCAGATCAAACATCACCAATGTCAACAGCTATTTAGTCTCTTGAAGATATACAGAACACGTTGATGGCAAAAAAAACTTACTAAACCAAGTTCCAAATGTAATAAACTGACAAGATATTAAAGACATGGAATGTAACATTGAAGGATACAGAAATACTTGGTGAGAAGATTTTTCTGGACCGGCAAATCAAGCTTTTTCTTCAGAGTTTCAGGTTTGAAACTTTTGAGACGGGAAATATCATCAACAGCCAATTTAGGAGTAACACTCTCAGCCTATTCATTTGAGAAAATAAGACAGCAAATCAAGAAAACATCGCCGGGAAGGAAAGAGAGAGAGAGATTAGAAATATAGAGAACACAGAATACTGTACCTGGAACGGCAACTGTGTGAATGGATCAAGCTGGCCCAGTGCTATACCCTTAGCAATATGTTGTGGCATCGATGTGAACGACGTTAAGGAATCAAATAACATGTGTTCCTTAATCAGTCTTGATAAATGGAGACATAAAATCAAAAGACTTGTGTCAAAGGATATGGGCCTACAAAATCTGAATCTTCGCCAAGGTCTTCAGAAATGTCAGACAAGTGTATAATAGCTTCAGTTTTTGGGTTGTAGACCCGTTGATGCTTGAACGTCAGCATAGCTTTCTTGAAAGACTCTTCGTAAAGAGGAGGAACTGAAACTGTGCTGTACTTTAAGTGCTTAATTACCTAAAAGCAAACTAGCCACAAATCATACAAACAAACCTTTTTTCCGGAACAAGATAGATGCCGGAAAATCTAAAACTAGTTTTGTAAGAACTTGTGGTAAAGTATCCACTTTTTCATTAACCGTACTCTTGCTTTACCAAATTCCTTGTTGTAAGATAAATCAAATGAGAAAAGAATGTGTACCCTGTCATAACTTCTGAACTTTGTAATGAGTGAATGGGCTCTTTTGAGCCCCATTCCTGGAAGTGACTGCAAATAATCACAGCCACTCAATATGCACATCTCGAGAAGCATCTGGCTTGAAAATGCAGAAAGACTGAGCTCCTTATTTATGGGTAGCTTGGAGGCTTGAAACTCAACACCATGGCCAAACTTGTCCATTTTAAAGATGATCTGCGACATGGAAATCAACAGTTGAAGGCATCAACGGTAATACACCGGGATGGATAAGGAATTGACATTAACTCTACCAGTAAAGAGAAGAGCAAATGATCTGATGCAAAATGTAACAGTAAGCTTACTCTTGGGCAGCCAAAAGGAATGAGATCAGAATCCTCAGTGATAATTGCATCAACTTGCTTAGTAATAGCCAGAAATGTCATTTGTGCATCCGCTTCGTAAGGAGCAACAACGTAATCAACATTCTCCTGCCTCAGAACCTTCCATGGTAGATAAATTTCAGTTCAAAGATATTAACAACAGATCAATTAAAGAAACAAATAAATCATTTTATCTGGAGAAAAGTACAAATCATCCAGCCTACTGTTACCTGTATCAACTCATGTGCAATAGAAGGTGAGATATCTACAGCCTTTGAATAGCATTCATAAGCAGCCGAGGAATTTCCATTTGCTTCATGCTCCAATGCACGTGCAAGATTTTCCTTCCTGGACCTGAATTTGATTGTTACAGAAAAGAAGAGGACTTGGCATAAAACTTGTTCAATGATAATAACGAAGACACAAACATAAGTTTGCATATTATGCTTCAACTAGTTAGCTAATGTTTGCATACCTAGCACGCTTATTCTCTTGTTCTAGTTTCATCGGTAACGGACCTCCATCGAAGACAAGAATAGGCTTCACTCCATGATGGCGAAGTAAATTCACTCTATGCATACAATATTGAATATGCCTGAAAGATTAAACACCAGTAAGTAAACCCCATTATCTTGTGCAAAACCAGAACCAGAAAAGTAACAAGACAAGAGATCTTAAAGATTACTATTCTCAATTGTAATTCTCTTACAGTAACATCAATCACATATAAACCCTACTGGTGAAATTTCCAGAACATTCCAAATATTCCGAGTTTGGTTTACCCATCAAATCTTCACGAGAAAAGCTTGAATTTTTCTGGGTGGGTTTAACGAAATAAGACCCATACACTTAGAGACAAAGAAACCCAATTTCTAAATTTGGGGAAAAACAAAAATCAATCGATTTCTAAATCTGGATTCCTTA